TGCAATGGGCTACGTCGTAGGCATTTTGTAGCACTTCACAAAGATTTGTAGTAAATTAAATATTTCCGCGCTTGCATACTTTAGAATTTTATAAAAATAAAAAGCCCTTCTATGTCACGTTCACTTTCTTTGTTTTTTTTTTACACACGCTTTTCAGAAAAAACTTGGATACGTTGAAACTAAAAAAATATAGAAAACGTTTTTCGTGCTCGTAAAAATTTCGCACACTGTTTTCAAACCGCGAGAATAATAAATTGCGCGGTGATTTTCCAGTGCAACTTGAGCCTAACCGAAATAAAATGTATTCAAATGATGTACAACTGCATTTTAGTGGTGAGAATTGCTATATGAATAACAGCATTTTTACGATTTGTGTAGTTGTTCATGTTTAGAGGTTTTTGTGTGATATGGTGTCTACTTTATGCTTGATTTCATTGTTTCAAATTAAAGTTATGACTTATTATTTGAATAGATATACATATGTCAATTGAATATTACTCAACTAACGCTTGTAAAATATAATAAAATGAGACAACTTTATTGCTTAGATTGATGATATCGAATTATCAAGTTTTGGGTAAGTGCCTAGGTTAGGTAATGCTATCATAACAATATATTAACTTATACATACTTAAGGTCACAAAACTGAAGCGTTAACTCTAAGACAAGCGCGAAAGCGGTTATAAGTGATTGTGTAAACCTCTTTGTTAAACGCTGTTACATAATCTATGGCACAGCTTTATCTATGGCCTTTGTTGGAAGCGCAAGCAGGCTGGTAACCCAAGCTTAACATAGACAATGAAGTAATCTGGGATATTCATTTAACATGGCTAATAAGTAGGTGAAACGCATTGTGTTTTGTTAATATAGTCTGGTTCGTCTAAGTAAGTGAATTTTAACAAAGGTTTTGGCCGTATGAGCCTAAATATTTAGTAAAATTTGTAAAACTGTACTACGTATTATACCAGACATATTTATTTTAATTATAGTAAATTTGTTTGAAAGTATCTAAGATTATTTAGGCACCACTGACAAACGATGAAGGAAAACACCACTGACAAATACACCCTGGGGTAACCTGGGCTTATAATTTCTAATGGCGTGCGCAGCGTGCATGGCAGGCGTGGTGATTATTGTTCAAATCTTAAATCCATGCGCGAATTGGCATGGCCAGTAGAGGTAGTAGCGACTGTAACTGACTAAATATTATTGAGTAGGTTTGATATTTTATAATAGTACATAGCTGTAAAAACCTAATACAAAAATAAACTTCCTTATTTAAATATTTCTAGAATATACTTTAACTCAAGCTAGAAAAGCATCAATTTTGTTTTAAACAAACTATACCCGTGTGTATACCGTAGAAACTTCACCGTGTGTCATAATCTTCTCATATTTCAACAAGAACTGCCTTGTAATTCTATTCAGGAATATTAGAAAACTCGGCTCGCCGTGCTAGTTGACTTTAACTTTGATATCTTACCTTCTGTCCTCGTGTTAGACTACTATACTGGCTCAATAAGAAAATAAATAACTTAATAGTTGTTAAAGTGAGATTGGAATTACCTAAGAGTAACAAAAAATACATTTAACCTGACGACTGAATTGCATAACTTGCTTCCCCTTAGTCCATTTCATCATCGTACCATAAGACAATCGGCGATGCGTCACCGATTCATGGTTAATGTCCCAACCCACACGCTCGAAGCGCTTCGCATTAAGCTTCCTTGTATGAACTGCTAAGGAGTAGAATTCTTTGCCAGAGTCTGTGTTTTCTGAAGGATGAAAGTCCTGTGTAACCTGGGTGTCTTCAAGGCCTGAGTGAATAAGTTCCTTATACGTCGACGTGCTCCATCTTAGACCACATCATCGCTTACCACCAGGCAAGACAGTGGCCAAACGTCGGCCCATTAAATATATAAAAGAAAAAAAAAGACTACGGAAATATCTAAGTACCTAAATACTGCATAAACGCAGATTGTAAAGAATATATTGAAAAGAATAAATAGACTGCACGGTTGGTGCGGTGGCTGGGGGCAACCAACTGCCGTCCAACGTGTCGCGGGTTCGATTCCCGTACGGAACAATACTTTGTGTGATCCACAAATTGTTGTTTTGGGTCTGGGTGTCATGTGTATGTGGACTTGTATGTTTGTAAACGCACCCACGACCCAGGAGATAATCCTAGAGTGGGCCAATAATTAAAAAAAAGTACTGAGAAATTAATTCAAAGTGCATCACGCGTTTTTTTATCAGATATCAGAACTACGTCTCTAATAACTCACTAAGTAAACTACGAGTACTTTTGTTTTCAAAAGACCTATTTTAATGAATCACACAAGAAAACTCAAAGGATATGTCTGATTTGAAGTTTCAAGACATTAATTAGTCCAGAACGCTCATACATAAACTAGGTTAAAATGCTTAAACCCATAAGGCGAACAACGTAACACAACTTGATAATATACTATTGCAAATATGATGCTCCTACTCGTGCTTCTATTGCAGTGAAGTCACGGGTACAACTAGTTCCTATAGACAAGCAGCAAATTCAAACAGCGATTCAGTTGCGGCTCACTATCGTGTATAATATCGATAACGTGGATTGTGTAACGAACAGAGAGTGAAGTTCAAGTTCTAATTCTACTTAAATACAGGTTATGTTGTTTTAAATATGCTTTTTTTAAGGGGGAGAAATCATCGAATAACTTCTCCCGCCTGGGTGAGGCCGGAGGATGTCAGACTCTTACTGACTGAAAACCACCCCGTTACCCGTTAAGTTCTAAGTGGCTCCGTATCGGCATCTAATGGGTCCCCTCCGTGGATGTCTGATGGCTTTTTAAGGCGCGCGCATAACGCGACGCGCCACACGTTCGTGTCTGGTTCTGGTTCGGGTCTCAGCTACCCATGCTCGCCGTCCACCACACGTTATGGTGGCCGGAGAACGTCCTACAATCTTCTACACCCGGAGTGTCCTTTGCGACGGCTGGATTGTGAGGAGGCAGCACCTCGCTGCCTCACGGGCTCCGCCTCCTCTTTAGCTAGCATGACTACTTCTTAAAAGGAAGAGACGACATCCAAGTTCTCCTGGCTCCGCAGTTATTTATTTTTTAGTTTTAATATGCTTTAGGTATCATATTTACGCCTTGTGAGACTAACCCAAAGCAACATTTTAACGCGTTTCATGATGGCAACAGCTTTCCAGAAAACCAGCGTGAAACAAAGCGCTGACGTTTCCTTCTACCGTCTGAGTCAGGTTATTTACAGTCCAACCGTCCCCTTACCAAAAAAGGGGTAAAACTATTGTCATTCTATTGTTATTCAAAAACGTTGTCCAACATTAGAATATTTCTCTCCTATGTGAAACAGGAGACACACTTACCATCTTTTTTTTTTTTTTTTGTTTAAGGGGGGAAAATCATCGAATGACTGCTCCCGCCTGGGTGAGGCGGGAGGGAGTGTCAGACTCTTACTGACTAAAAACCACCCCGTTCCTTCTCCTGTACGTCGAGCCGGAGCCCCGGTTACCCTTTAGGTTCTCCGCGACTCCGAATCGGCATCGGCCCTATTGGGCCCCATCTGTGGTGGTCTGATGGCTCTCTGAGGCGCGCGCGGAACGCGACGCGCCGTACGCTCGCCGTACGTCTGTTTCTGGTCGGACGGGGAGCCACCCATGCTCGCCGTCCGCAGGCCCGCGCTTACGGTGGCCGGAGATCGTACACTTACCACCTATACCCGGAACAATAATTCGTAGATCATTCAAAGTGTGGCTTCGCACCAGGTTGCCCAGCCATCGCTCCAACCGTGCAGTCATTCGACCTGTGCGGCTGTATGTAAAAAAATAATAAAATAATAAAGTCTACCTACCAGACTTCTATGAAGCACAGACTTTATCAAGAATATAATCAGTGTTCATCTTCAAACATGCTCTCTGAAGATCTCTAATGATGTCTGATGTTACATCGTGCAGCTTGCAGCTTACGTATGCTAGACTACAGCCTCTTGTAAAATTACCATAATTACACCTTAGATGCGGCTTTTGTTCTTGCTATAGATAAGTAAAACTTTCCTCTAGAGATTTAAGTGTAGAATGGAGATGATCGCTGAAGGGTTAGGCGTTAAAATAAGATATCTTATTTAATCCTATAATATATTCTTTTTTATCAACAGATAAAAAATTGATCTTAGCAATGGTACCGCTTGCTATTGCTACCAGTACAATTTCTAAGATAAATTCATTGTTATGTTTTTCGATTTTGCCACGTACTACAACAGTAGCAGCGCGACAGTCATCGCGTCGCGGGACGAGGAATGCTGCTTATGATTATGACCCTCTATCATTGATTGAAACTAGTTGCGTTCCTCGTGAAACAATTACGTGGTAAGCCGAAGAAGATAATAATTTATTTAGTAAACTCATGAAAGTTTTAATATAAATTTCTGAGATAGGTTTAAAATAAAATCGGCCAGTAAAAAGGCGGTAGAAAGTAAAAATAAGGTTCGTTTTCATCTAGAAATGAAACTTAATACTCCTAGTGAGTGTCACCTTAGTAAGGTTAAGGCTATAAAAACTCTAAATCTGACGCTCTATTAAGAACTCTATTAAGAACTGTTGATAGTTGGTACTTAATGCTAATGCGACTTTTTGGTCTACATTCACGGGTCAAAATAACGACTGAAAGTTAATGTTTATTACAAAAAAGGTTATTGACTTACAACATTATTGGAATCGCTAATCGGCCAATCAGAAGCCTTTATTGTGGTCTCAAAGCTATTAGCAATAGAGCTATTTTGCTTCAAGTTTAATAACTGTATTCAGCAATAAATCGCATTATTTGTGAGTATTATGCGGAGCAATTAATGTTTCTGATTTTAATCTTTCAAGTTAAAGATATAGAGTTCTAAAACAAAATCAACGATTTTAAATTTATATTTCAAGTAACGATAACATTTGCTATTTCTTATTCTTTATTCGTTCTTAAAGATAAGTGTGTTAGATGACTTCAATTTGTTAACACTATCAGTACTTATACTAGACTTAGGTCTGTGGATGATGTACTAAGTATCCTATCAGTTGAAATAGGAGTGACGACTCGAAGGGGCACATTGGGTATTTCTCTCGACATCTGTCTGGGTACGTCATCCCATGATCATATGCTTCTTTGAACACTGAATGGGCATAACTGTCTTGCTCTGTCGGCTCCAATCTGTAATAAAAAAATAGATTGTGTAGGTCATCATGAACAGCCTGTGAGTATTCACAAAACGTTTACCTATATAGGAAGTTTTGAAATACCTTCTATGTTTGACGGGCGGGTTAAAGATCGTAATTTGAAAGGTTCTATTTAACTAAACAGTAGTGGTATTGAATGGTCTCCATCAAATAGGTACCTATGTAATAATTAAACACCTACCCGTGGGAATATTAGTGGTCATATATTCTATCCCTTTTGCTTTTACTATAAATAAGTTCGTTTATTTACTAATAAAGTTTAGTTTGGTATTAAAGATTAATTATTAATCTTCATTACTGTTTACTCAAGTTTCAAGCCATGCTAGAGGATCCTATTCATGAGCAGCATTCCGCGACCCACGACGCGACGCGGCGACTAGCGCGCTGTTGTCAGCAGCGTCTAGCCTGGCTTGTAACTAGATAAATTCCTCGTCAAACAGTTACGTGAGTAATCCGAAAACATAATGATTAATTTAGTATGTCTAACGTAAATTTTAATATAAGCAATAGGGATACATATTACCATATAATTACATTATAACCTTTTAAAAATTATAGCTATAGGCGAATTTGTACAAATAAAACTCATTCCTAAAGGCAATCGATCACCAAAGTTTGAGTATAAGCTTAAGGATTATTATATTTTATTTTCCCTTGAAGTAATATAAAAACTGAATAACTACGTCTATATTCTCCAATTTCAAAGCTGTTTATTCAAAATATTGTTCCTAAACCAACACAATCTTTCTATAATAAAGTACTAACACACACAGTGAACGAGTGAAAGTAATAATCTCATTTATTCCTTGTCACACATACATATTTTATGATGGATTCAATATAATATAATCTTTCATAAATGTACCTATAAATGTATAGAGGGTTAGAACAAGATATAAAATAGTTATAACTTGGGAGCATGATTTTAAGTGGAGTGTTTGGTTCTATAAAAGTAGTAAACTAATTTATTGTGCAGAAAATGGTACGTACATAATATTAAAAACCAAATATTTTTGAGCTGTTCTTTAATATATAACTGGCGATATACCTCTATATGAGTAGTTAGATAGGTACCTACAGTATAATTTTGAGTAATACTGTCGACTCATTCCATTCGTTAATGTCCTTCATTTTAATCCATGACACAGTCCATTACTAGTTTTCATTTTTAATCCATAAATCTTGGAATCATATACGCATAAAAGTTTTCCTTTATATATTAGTTTCCGAATAATATATTACTCTTAATATTTCTGTAGTAGGCACCCTTTTCTATCTGTGATTTCATTAATAATCAATTGATTACATATAGAAAGAGAGAGTAATAAATTGCCTAACAATGTTCTACATAAATCTTGCATGTTTATATACTGATATTAGAATATATGATGCATATTATGAAGTTTAACTCACAATAAGTCCCAGAGAAATTTGTAGAACAAGTTACTTACTTGAACAAGTTACAAGTACGATGTGTGCATTGAGTGGTTAGCTTAGAGATGGATAGTGGAATTTACTGTAAGCCTTTGAGATGTAGTTTCAGAATTGTATTCCATTATTTAATAGGAACATATTGATACAATAATCGTACGAGCTTTCAGTAGCCGATTATAACTGAAGATAGAACGTGCTGCAGAAATCTTGGAGATGGCAATGCAGTGTTATGCAATGCAATGTTTATGTTGTGAAAAATAAAAATTAGACTCAGCGAAGTTAGATAATGTCGATAGTGCTAAGATTTTTAGATTTGGTATCGAGGTAGGGAAAGGAAAAGTTGTATCTTATATATCTCCGTAATAACATCTCCTTTAACATATTGAACATGTCCACGCAGCCCCCTCCTCAGAACGCTGGTGAACACCTTTTTCTGGAGGTTGAGTTACATCACGCTAAAATTCTTCTTGGCGTGTATTACTGTCCTTCTTTGCGTATAAATTTCTTCTCCTCCTTCGAGCAACTCCTGGAAACATTTGTACCTTCATATGATCATTGTATCATTATGGGGGATTTTAATACATGTCTCTTAAAAAACGACTCGCGTTCCACTTCTTTTTCCCGTTTAATTAAGTCTACCAATCTTTCTATCCTTGACCTCAAGGCTACTCACCACTTCCCTAATTCAGTTCCTTCGCTTCTTGATTTAATCTTAGTTTCTTCCCCAAACCACGTTGCCAAACATGGCCAGTGTCCAGCTGACGCCTTCTCTTATCACGACCTTATCTATACTTCCTTTAAAATTCGCCCACCCAAGCATAAGTCGAGAATTCTCTATCTCCGCAATTTTGAGGGCATGAATGTTGAGCGTCTACGGGAGGATGCTGCTGACATTGACTGGAAACCTCTGGCTGAGGCGGCATCGGTTGACGAACAGGTTGAATTCCTGACTGCCACTCTTATAAAACTATACGACAAACACGCTCCTGTCAAGGCCGTCAGGGTTAAGCATCTCCCAGCACCTTGGCTAACTGACGAAATAAAGAACCTGATTGCCAAAAAAGCTGCTGCAAAATTCAAATTTAAGATCCAGCCTAGTGACAGCAACAGGGAAAAATACATTAGGATTAGAAATCAGTGCAACAAGGTGTGCAGGAATGCTAAACGCCAACACATCCATAGATCAGTTGAAGATGGTGATCCGGCTAAAGTGTGGAAATTCCTCAAATCACTAGGAATCGGTAAACCTAATCAAGACCCTTTACCTAAAGATCTAGATCTTAACTCTCTTAACACTCACTTCTCTTCCTCAGTTGCTTTAGATATGGCCACCAAAACTTCCACTTTAAACTTTCTTTCTTTTCTTCCGATACCTGATTTTCCTCCGTTCGTCTTCAGTCAGTTTACTGCATGTGAGGTTAGGAAAAGCATTCTATCGACGACTTCGAATGCCGTTGGTGGTGACTGTGTAAGCCGCAAAATGATAATTCCTATCCTCGATCAAATAACTCCAATCATCCTTTTTGTCCTAAATTCCTCAGTCTCCAACAGAGCTTTCCCTCAGATTTGGAAGGAAGCTCACGTAATCCCTCTTCCTAAGAAACCAAATCCTGCTTCTTTTTCCGATTTTCGTCCTATATCCATTCTTCCTTTTCTGTCCAAAATTCTAGAAAAACTAATCCATTATCAACTCAGTTCTTTCCTTACCAAGCATAATCTCCTCAGCCCCTTCCAATCTGGTTTTCGTCCGGGTCACAGCACCACCACGGCTCTCGTAAATATTACCGATGACATTAGGTCAGGCATGGAGATGGGGAAGTTGACGGTACTTGTCCTGCTCGATTTTAGTAATGCATTTAATACCGTCGACTTCGAAATATTGCTTGGCGTGCTCAGCACTTTTAACATATCCCCATCAGTGATTGACTGGTTTCGTAGCTACCTATTTGGTCGCCGGCAGCGTATTCATTGTGAGGATCGTTATTCTTCATGGTGTTGTACTGCTTCCGGTGTGCCGCAGGGAGGTGTTCTATCTCCTTTACTCTTTACGCTATTTATCAGCTCTATTTCTAATGAACTCTCTTCTTCCTTCCACCTTTATGCCGATGATCTACAGATCTACACACATGCTTCGCTGCATGAATTACCCGATGCTGTTGCACTGGTCAACCGTGACATGGAGCGAATTAGTGACTGGAGCATGAAGTTCGGGCTGCGTATCAATCCATCAAAAACGCAAGTGACGGTTGTCGGCAGTTCAAGGACTGTCTGTAAAATAGACTGGTCCACTCTTCCCCAAGTATGTCTACTTAACACCAAGATACCTTTTTCCAGTGAGGTTAAGAACTTGGGGATTTACATTGATAGCACTCTGTCTTGGTCTAAACAGATGCAGGAGGTCAGCCGCAGGGTGTTTGCCTCGGCGGGCTCCTTGAGGCGTCTTCGGAATTTCTTGCCCACTACTACAAAAATTGCATTAGCACAATCCCTACTTCTACCAATTCTCGACTATGCTGATGCCAGCTATCTTGATCTCACCCAAGAACAATTAGACAAGCTTGAGCGACTTCAAAATCTTTCTATCAGGTTTGTATTTGGTTTGCGCAAATATGACCACGTATCCGAGTTCCGCAACAAGCTCAAATGGCTGCCTATTCGTCTTCGCCGGAATACTCATATTCTTTCAGTTTTGTACAATATACTCTTTAATCCCACTACCCCTATTTATCTAAAACATCGTTTTACGTACCTTGGCGACACACATTCGAAGTTTTTGAGATCATCGGAAAGTCTGAAATTAAATATTTGTTTGCATTCCACTTCCTTTTTCGACAAATCCTTTACAGTACAAGCAGCTCGGTTGTGGAATGCTTTACCGATAACAGTGAGGCGAGCTCAAACTATATCGCAATTTAAAAAACTTCTTAAAGAGCATTACCTCTCTTTATAATTTTATTTCCTATCTTAACCAGACACCTACACACACACACACA